GGAGAGGGAGGGAGGGAAGGAGGGAGAGTGCGAGAGAGGAGGAAGAAGGGAGGGAGAGGGAGAGAGGGAGGGAGGGAGGGAGAGGGAGGGAGGGAGGGAGGGAGAGTACGAGAGAGGATGAAGAAGGGAGGAGAGGGAGAGAGGGAGGGAGTGAGGGAGAGGGAGAGAGGGAGGGAGGGAGAGTGTGAGAGAGGAGGAAGAAGGGAGGGAGAGGGGTAAAGAGAGGGAGGGAGAGGGAGGGAGCGCGAGATGGAAGGAGGAGGGAGGAAGAGAGGTAAAGAGAAGGGAGGGAGGGAAGGAGGGAGAGAGGGAGGGAGGGAGAAAGAAGGAAGGAGTGAGGTAAAGAGAGGGAGGGAGGGAGGGAGAACGAGAGAGAAGGAAGGAGGAAAGAAGGGAAAAGGAGGGATGGAGGAAAGGAAGGAGAGAGATTATGCTTAACCTAGAAACCTGAAATTCGTTAACGATTTCGCATTTTCGCAAAGCCGACACGAACGCTAATTTTTCACGAACACAGACGCTCTTAAATACAGACTCAAATATATATTAAGCGTGTGCAAAACCAGACACAAAAATACACAGATACACGAATCTGCACATATACACACAAACGCACGCACGCAAGCACAGACAGACAGACATACAAACACACACACACAAATGCACGCAAACAATCACACACACACACACACACACACACACACACACACACACACACACACACACACACACACACACACACACACACACACAGTCACTTTTTATAACAAAAATATATATATATATAGTACTTGTAAAGTACTTGTAAAATACTATATAGTACTATAATAATTTTCAAATTTGCGGTCAAATCAACCCTTTAAATGTAATAAATTTCAATGCACATTATTTTTTCTTTCCTCTCAGTTCTAATTTGATAATGAAAACGCAAAAACCATGGAAATATTCAATGATAAAATATCACACACTGACGCATATGCAGAGCGCTATAACCTTGGGACCACAACACACATATAAGGACAAGAGTGCGAGGGTAGAATCTGTTAGATCGTTACGGGATACAGAACATGTTAAATATATATATGTGGTGTTATGGTTAGTACAATACGGATGGAAATATAACTCGTTGGATATATATAAACGTTATGGTTAGAGCAATGCGGAAGCAGGATGGAGAAATATGGGCAGACTTTTTTGTGCATGCTCGAGTTTGGAATGTGATGTGTATCTGTTGGTATGTTAATGTAAGCGGATGTGTGTGTGTATGTGTGTGTGTGTGCGTGTGTGTGTGTATGTGTGTGTGTGTGTGTGTGTGTGTGTGTGTGTGTGTGTGTGTGTGTGTGTGTGTGTGTGTGTGTGTGTGTGTGTGTGTGTATGTGTGTGTGTGTCTGTGTGTATGTGTGTGTGTGTGTGTGTGTGTGTGTGTGCGAGTGAATGACAATTCAGCAAATCAATATTGATTTCTTTGTTGCTTCGGTACTAATGAACCAGGCTACACATTGTGCTGCGGGCATACGAAAAAATGCTGACACCGACACACACATAAACACTATACAATACACAGATATGCATACACACATATAACAACCTTTATATGTATATATAATATATACATATATATATATATATATATATATATATATATATATATATATATATATATATATATATATATATATATATACATACATACATACATATATACACACACCCCTAAACACACACAAATACACAGACGCACACATAAACACACACACATATAAACACATACGCATGTCGGGATATGCGTATATCTTTGTTTATATTTTGCTTGTTTATTTACTACGCGAGCACATACACGCACGCGTTCGTACGCCCCATAATCCTGGCTTCAACACACACAAACACCCTCAAACCAAACCTTACACACAACCAAACGCACCAAACGACATCTAAGATAAAAAAACCCACAAAAAAAGATAAAGAAAGAGAGAGAGACAGAAAAAAAGCGGGGAACATAGCAGAGGCGTCAGGATATCTATAACAAAAAAGCGGCCGAATCCAAGGTCTCGGAGGAAGAAGGAGGAGGTGGGAGGGGCTTCGGAGGAAGAGGGCGGAGCCTGGGGAGGACCTGGGAGGGGCGTCAGTTCATTCAGTCAGTTGTCAGCAGAGCGTCGGCGGCGAAAGGAGGAAGGAGAGGCAGCAGGTAAGGTTCCCTCCTAGTATTTATATTCAGCAGGAAGTCACATGAGTAGAAAAAAAAAGAAAAAAGAAAATTATATAGCGAGGAACAGGGGGAAGTAACTGCAAAAAAATTCAGTTATCTGTATTTATTATTATTACGATATAACCGATCAATAAAATAAAAAAAATATAGAAAGAAACAACTAAAAGTAAACCACAAACAGGAGGGAGATTCACACAACCCACATGAACACACAAAAAAAAAACTAGCCATAAAAACACAGGAAGTTGAAAACCAGGAAGAAACAAGACGGGGAGAATTTTTTGTGTGCTATGAAAGATACTATTGTACCAAGGACGCGGGCGGGGTTGCTTACTAACGCTTTTTATTTCCTTTTCCTTTTCAATTCTCTTTCTCAGTCTCTTAGGGGGGAGTTGTGAGGAGGGAAGTCGTGTGTGCTGGGAGGTTATTTGTGAGGTGAGTGTGAGGTTGTGTTGTTAATGAAAGGGTTGTGGTGGTTGTTGAGCTGCTGTGTTGTAATGTGTTATGTGTTTCGTATATATTTATATTTTTTTGTTTCGGTTTTGTAGGAAGACGAGGAAGTTGTTAGAATATTGATGAGCTTAGTGTGTTGTAATGTTTTGTATATATATATTTGTTTATTTTTTCTGTATTTTGTTTCATGTTGTGAGGAAGTGCTTGTGTGTTGTGAGAATGGGGTGAGGTTCTTGTGATATAGTGAGTTAGTTGATTATCTTGTGAATGTTATGAGGTTTATAAGCGTTATAGATATGATTTTTTCTATAAGTGTGTTGTGATGTTATTTGTGAGGTTATTGAGTTTGTGAAAATGTAAGGTTGTTATGAGGTTGTATAGTAATGTTATATATTTTTTCCACTTTTCTTTCAGTGTTCATTGAATGTGCATACTGTTATGAGTTTCGTTATGAGTGTTTATGAGGTTGCAGTGAAGTTGTTATAAGGCTTATTGTGTTTTTATGTTGTAGCTAACTGATGTTATATATAAATATATATATTTGCTATTATTTTTGTCCTAGGTGTTGTGAGGAAATACGTAGGTTGAGAGATTATTATTGTGAGGTTAATGATGAGTGCGTTGTATATTTTATTTTATACATCAGGTGGAAAGCTTAGGAGGTTATTTAGGTCATTATGAGTGTTATGAGGATGAGTATGAGGTTAGTGGTATGTTTTTGCTGTCGTTTTTCTGTATGTCTATGCTGGTGTGTTTGTGATGTTTTTGCCATGTTGTCTGCATTCTTTTCCTTGCATTTGTGAGGTTATGGGGTTATTGAGAGCAGTAGGAGTATTTGTGTTGAGGTTATGTTGGGTTTGTGTTGTCATTCATGTGGATATGTTTTTGTTTTTGCATTATTTGCTTGCCGTTGTTTTTATAAATTTTTCGGAGTATTGAACGCCATTTGTATTAGAAGAGAAAAAAAAAATTATAGGGTTATTTTTGAGTGTGAGTTTATTATGGGGTTATTGGACACTATTTTTGTTGGCTGTGTTATTGTTATATTACAGTTCTCTTATGGTGTTATTGTGGTGTTTCAAATAATGATTTTATTGCCCTTTTTTTTTGAAGGCAATAAAATGGGCTAAGTAAAAAATGAGTTACCATTTTGTGAAGTCTATAGAGGTTTTGCTGGATTGTTATGTGGCCTATTTGTGTAATTTTTATTATATATTGTGTGTTATTATTGCATATTTTTATTTGATAATATCTAGTATGTTTTTGGGGGAATTGTAATGGGGTTGGAGGTCTGTCTTGAGTGATTTGTCTCTATGAAGCCATTGTGGAGTTATTACAATATATAATTCCATAAAAGATTATGTTATTATATTTGTACTATTTTATAGCACATGCCAGCATCTCTGATGTTGGCAGAGATGTTGGCGTCTGCTCCTGTCGGCACATTGACAAAGACCAAACAATCGACTGCCTATATTTAGAATCAAAGTCAAGTTCAATTACAAAGTCAAGTTCAGCGGTTTCCTTTATCTCTTTGAACATATCCTGGTTAAGTAAAGCTGTCTGAATGTCCTACCAGTGTATAGCCTAATATGGAAGTATATCAAGGTCTCTCATGGGAGCATTTTGTGTGGTTGAAGTCTGTAGTCCTTTGCTGGAGCGCGAAGTGTGGAGGCCACGGTGATCACTTTACACTGCTTGGATTTAGCCGTTACAAATTGCGTAATGTAGGTTTTGTGTCCGTGACATTTTACAGAATTCAATGTATATTTTAGCTGTTACAGGTTATGGAATGCATCAATTAATTTAGTCATTACGTGCTATAGGAAACAACTCATGTTTTAGCCTCTGTTTCTGTTATTGTAATTTTTTGTTTATGTTTAGGTATTTAATTTCACTTGGTTATTTATTTTGTTTTGATATTATCACTGTTAGTTTTACTCGGCATTAATGTTAGTTTGTGGATGTTGTTAATGCCACTTTATTTTAATTAGCTTCGAGTAAGAAAGCCTAGCTAAAGGGATTTTTCTGGTGTTGGGTTATTTAATATATTTTTTTGACGCAGTTTCATTGTTATTGTGGTATTATTAATGATGATTTTTTAGGACTGTTGGATGTTATGCTGGGTAGCGAATCTGTTCTGTCTCCTTTACTTTTGTGGCTGTTTAATTTCTATTTGTGTTTTCTATTACTGTTGCGACTGTCATTTCATCTTTGTATGCACAACAACAGGGGCATATATAGTTATTTTTATTAAGGAAGTGTCAGCCTCTAACTTGTCGACAAAGTGGGTGTGTCCATAGTTCAACCATACCCCCCGAAGGAAAAGATTTTTTGTTGCGCAAGATTAAAGAGATATATTGGCTTGGAATAAGCTTTCAAAATATGTCTAAATAAAAGGTTTAATGCTCTGAGATATAATAAGACCCTGCATATAAAAATTCTAAATTCTCTGAATAAAGGAAGAAATTTGCCAACAAAGACGATTAAGGGGTGTTGTGTCCTTGTATTCCCTTCCTTTAGTACTGTTTTATTGTCTTTGTCCCTGGGTTGGAGGTATTACTATTTTTATATTTTTAATGTGTGTCTTGAACTTTAAGTTTTGTCATTTACCAATTGTGTTTGTGTCTGTTATTTGTTATCTGTCATGTAGATTTAGATTGTTAATTTTATTGCTATTCTAAGTAAATGCATATATCAGTGGATACATGTGTTTACAATGTATCAGTGTTAGTATCAGGAAGAGATAACTTTATCATATTTCGCTTTTTAAAGAGAGAGATTTAGGGAGTGTATAAGAAATAACAGGGGGTTTGTGGGAGGAAAAAATTAAAAGGAAAATATATATAGGTTTCCAAATATTACTATCATAAGAGAATCAAAAGTACATGTTTTCTCTAGATTTTATTATAGTGCAAGAATAGAAAATATTTGTATTAATTATTGATGTTCATACAGGATCCTGTTGTAGTTATGGTCCTTTTTGTATATTTCTAGACTTTATCAGCTCATGAGAATTACCTTATAAAGTTATAAAGAGCTAAGTATTAGCAGTACCTGTCCTTGAGGCTTTTCAGAAGTTGGCAAAGGAAGAGTGTTTATTTTAGAAATGTATGCATAAATATCAGTCATGGATAGGTTGCTCAGGGACATCTGTCTATCTATTTATCATTCATTCTATCTCTATTAATCTATCTATCTCTCTATCTGTCTGTCTATCCATCTATATATATATCTGTCTGTCTATCATTCTATCTATGTATCAGTCAATACATCTATTTATCCATTCATATGTCTATCTATCTGTCTATGTATGTATGTATGTATGTATGAATGTATGTGTCTGTCTCTCTCTCTCTCTCTCTCTCTCTCTCTCTCTCTCTCTCTCTCTCTCTCTCTCTCTCTCTCTCTCTCTCTCTCTCTCTCTCTCTCTCTCTCTCTCTCTCTCGTTCTCTCTCTCTCGTTCTCTCTCTCTCTCTCTCTCTCTCTCTCTCTCTCTCTCTCTCTCTCTCTCTCTCTCTCTCTCTCTCTCTCTCTCTCTCTCTCTCTCTCTCTCTCTCTCTCTCTCTCTCTCTCTCTCTCTCTCTCTCTCTCTCGCTCTCGCTCTCTCTCTCTCTCTCTCTCTCTCTCTCTCTCTCTCTCTCTCTCATTGTCACTCTCACTCTCACTCTTACTCTTACTCTTACTCTTACTCTCACTCTCACTCTCACTCTCACTCTCTCTCGTTCTCTCTCTCTCTCTTCATCTATTTGTATAATACACTCAGGGTATGCTTTTGCTGTATTGATATATATTTGCTGTTGTGTGTGAGCAAGCTTGCTCTATTGACAGATAGACTGTAATAGATGCGAGTGTGGCTATTTTTGATTGACCTTTTGATTGGCATTTCTCTAGCTGTTGAATATATTTTTTTTTATTGTAAATAAACTTTATGCAAGGTGATTGTGATGGTATGTGATTTTCTGCATTGTCTGATTTTGAGGAAGAACAGGAGGAAAATAGTGTGATTGTGATTTTTTTTTTTTTTTTAGAGAGAGAGAAGACTAATAAGGTGATGATAAGTTTTGATTTAATTGGATGTATTACAGGTTGACAGAGTTAGAATTAACTGATTAGGATTAGTTTAGGTTGGATAAAGAATATGTATTCATTATGTTTTGCGAGGTTAAAATGTTCCTGGCTCGGACTGCTTTTGTCTTTGACCTTGGCTTTGGTTTAGCTTGACTTTGCCTTTGCCCTTGGCTTTGGCTTTGCCTGACTTGACTTGCTTTGACTTGATTTGACTTGGCACAACTTGACATGGCACAACTTGACTTGGCACAACTTGACTTGGCACAACTTAACTTGGCACAACTTGACTTGGCACAACTTGACTTGGCACAACTTGACTTGGCACAACTTTGGTTTGGCTTAGCTTGGGTTTGGTGTGGACAAGCTAAATTTAGCTTAGCTTGACTTTAGCTTGGGTTAGGTTTGACCTGGAGAGGTTAGACTTGGCTGGGCTTGGTTTTGGGTTGGGTTTGGATTGACTTGGTTTGACATGGTTTGAGTGGTATTGATTAGCACAGACTAAGATAAATAAAGATATGATATGATATGATATGATAGAATAGGATAGTAAAGTGCAATAAAGTACAGCAATTAAGTTGATTATAGGCATGTAAAAAAAAAATGTATTTCCTTGTAAATGGCAAGTTTATTGAACTCTTCACAATTAACATCTTAAATTGTATTTTTTATCCAAATACAGTCGGGCTATTGGACAGGATTTTTTGTGTTTTCTACTCTGGTATATATATATTGCAAATTTATTAGTTGCACATTATCTTATCAGTAATGTGTTTCGTGAATTAATCTTTAGTTTAGAATCATAGGTAATAAAAAAAAAAATAATTTACTTAAGGGGGGATCAGATTAGTTGAAAACAACTTTTTGACTGAATATCAATATTATTTAAAGCAGATTTTGTAATACATGTAATT